TGCTGATGATGATGCTGATGCTGATGACGATACTGCTGCTGCTGATGATGATGGTGATGATGATGCTGATGATGATGATGCTGATGCTAATGCTGATGATGATGATGATGATGATGATGATGATGATGGTAATGATGATGACGAGGATGATGGTGATGCTGATGATGATGCTGATGATGATGATGATGATGATGATGATGATGATGATGATGATGATGTTGATGATGATGATGATGATGCTGATGATGTTGATGCTGCTGCTGCTGCTGATGATGATGATGATGATGATGCTGATGACGATGATGATGCTGCTGCTGCTGATGCTGGCTGATGATGCTGATGCTGATGATGCAGGAGGGAGGCGGAGAGGCGGGAGGCGGAGGAGGGCGGAGGAGGAGGGAGGAGGGAGGAGGGTGGAGGGTCGGGGGTTGAGGGTGGAGGGAAGAGGAAGGAGGGAGGGGGAGGAGGGAGGAGGGAGGAGGGTGGAGGGAGGAGGGACGAGGGAGGCGAGAGGATGGAGGAGGGAGGAGGGAGGCGGGATGAAGGAGGGGGTAGGTAGGTAGGTGTGCTCCCTTTGAGCTGGCGGCGGAGGCGTCGGACGGCGCTTCCTTTTAGCAAGGAGCCAAGACCTGGAGAGGGTTCGGAAGCGACCTTGCTGCGACGGCTCTGGAAGACAAAGCGCCAGCACTGGAGGGGACGGGGGGGTTAGGCGAGAGCTTTCGCTCTTTCGGGGGCCTAGGCGGAATTCTTGGGTCGGCGCTGGGCCCCGCCCTTGCGCTCAACACGAGCTCGGGGAGCGGCGCCAAGGCGCCCGGGATGGGGGGGGGGGCGCAGCCCCCCTACTCAGGAAAACCCACCAGCCTCCGGAGGACTTCACAGCTCCAGCCAACACCTCCGCCCAGAGCCTCGGCCAGAGCGAAGCAGCAGAGGCAACTCAGAGACTCCCCGCAACGTGGGGGGGGGCCAGGCAGGGAGCACCTGCCTGGAGCTCGTCCGATCCCCACTGCACCGCCTGGTCGACGTACCCCGCAGGTACGGGACGGTGACAGGAAGGGGGAGAGGGAGCCACCCCGAGGGGGGAAAAAAGGGCCCAGCCCGACCCAGCCCGCCTGCCAGGAGCCCACGGGGAGAAGAATACTGCTCCCGCTGCACCCCAGGGCAGGACCAGAGCTCCGAGGCGAATCCAGCCGTGGCGACAGAGGGACCCCAGAACGAGCAGCGGTCTGGGTACCGTTCCCCCCTAGAAGCGCCAGGCAGAGGAGAGGGAGGGCGGGAGGGGGCGAGATCGGAAGGGGAGAGAAAGCCACCCCAGAAAGGAAGAGAGGAAGAGAGGACGGGGCGAAGAGAGAGGCCCATCCCGGCCCGACCCGCCTCGACCACCCGGGCTTCCAGGCGGAAAGGGGGTGGAAGGGAGGGAGAGAGGAAAGGAGGGAGGTCAGGAGAGGGGGTGAGCGGGGGAGGCTCAGCAGCGCCAGGCAAAGGGGGGGGGGAGGGCGGGAGGGGGAGAGACAGGAAAGGAAGAGAAAGCCACCCCAGAGAGGAAAAGAGACGGAGAGAGGACGGGGCGAAAAGGGAGGCCCACCCCGGCCCGACCCGACCCGTCCACCCGGGGGCTGCCGAGCGGAGGGGGGTAGGGAGGGAGGGAGGGAGGGGGATAGGGAGGGAGGGGGCGCTGGAGCCGGGAAAGGGGAGAGCAAGAGGCAGGCGTTCGCGGTCGCAACCTTACCCTCAGGTCCGCATGGGCACCAACCCCCCAGAGCACAGGATCCGCCCGGCCGGACCGCCCGGCCTGACCGCCGAGAGGTCTCCGGAGGCCCTCCGAAGCTCCCAGGACATCGCGGAGACACCGAGGGCCTCCGAGGGCCTCCGGGGGCCTCCAAAGACCAGCGGGGGCCCGCCGACGACTTCCCAAGGCTCCGGCAGGCCCTCGGGAAGCTCATGGAGGCCCTCGAGAACAGCCCTCGAAGGCCCTCGGGGGGCCCTCGATCCACACCCAAGAGGAACAGAGAGAAAGGAGGCAGGACACCCGACAGGCTTCGGCCACAGCCTCCGCGCAGGATCGAGACATCCAGGGCCACAGGAGGGCACAGCTCCACGATCGCCTCCTCCGAGAACCCTAGAAGGCCCCGCCCGGAATGGAAGCGGCGTCGGTGGACCTCGAAGCGGCGGCAAGACAGACGGCAGCAGCGGCACCGGCCGCACCAAACCGCAACGGCACAGATCACAACAACAGCGAAAACGGCGCGACGGACAGCGACGACGACGACGACTGAACGACGGCAGCGACAGCAACAGCGACAACCACGGCGACCAGAATCTCCGAAACCGCCGCTCTGCCTTCACTGGCCTGGCTCGGGCAGGACCTCCCCCGAGCAGGCTTGGGCCCGAGGGGGGGGGGAAGGGCAAAGGCAGGGAGGAGGAGAGGGAAAGACAGGGGGAGACGAAGCGGGGGACGAGAGACAAGAGCGGGCAAAGCCACGCGGCCTGCGGGGCCGGACCATCTCTCAGGGCGCTCCCGCGGCGCAGCCTGCTTTGCCACTGTGGGCGGCCCACGCCCTCGGCCCGAACCCGACCCGCCCAATCCAACCCCGCAACGAGGGGGCGGGGAGGGAGCAGACCATCCCGGCCCTGCCCGACCCAACCCAGCCCTGCGGAGCGGGAGGGCGGGGGGGGGAGAAGGCAGGGCGATGTTTGTTGCGACCGTGGCGGCGCCGTCGATCGGACTCGGGGGAGCGCACGGGGGGGGGGGGGAGGGGTTAGAGCGGGAGGAGGGGCACGGAGTGAGTATTGCTCCAGAGCGGCTAATTACAACACCAATAATCTTTTCATACCATTTCATTTCATTTCCTTTCATTTTGTTTCATTTCGCTTCATTTGAGTTCATTTCAGTTCATTTCAGTTCATTTTTCGGTTTATTTCATTCCATTTCATGCCATTTCATGTCATCTCATGCCATTTCATGCCATTTCATGTCATTTCATGCCATTCTATTTCATTGCAATTCTGGGCACTTCGCTTCGCTTCACTTCACTTCGCCTCACTTCATTTCACTTCACTTCACTTGAATTCATGTCATTCTATTTCATTGCGTTTCATATCATTTCTTCTCATTTCATTACATTCCATGTTGGTTTCATTTCAGTTCATTTGGTTCCATTTCGTTTCATTTCGTTTCATTCCGCTTCATTTCGCTTCATTTCGTTTCATTTCGTTTCACTTCGTCTCATTTCGTTTCATTTCGTGCCATTTCGTTTCATTTCGTTTCATATCGTTTCATTTCGATTCCTGTCATGTCATGTCATTTCATGCCATTCCATGCGATTTCATGTTACTTCATGTCATGTCATTTCATCTCATTCCATTGCACATCATTGAATTTCATTTCATTCCATATCATGTCATGTCATTTCATTTCATTTCATTTCATTTCAGTTCATTTCATTTCATTTCATTCCATTTCACTTTATGCCATGCCATGCCGTGCCGTGCCATGCCATGCCATGCCATGCCATGTCATGTCATGTCATGCCGTGTCATGTCATTTCATTTCATCATTTCCTTTCCTTTCCTTTCCTTTCTTTTCCTTTGATTTCCTTTCATTTCCTTTCATTTCCTTTCATTTCATTCCATTTCATGTCCTGTCCTTTCATTTCCTTTCATCTCGTTTCATTTCATTTCATTTCATTTCATTGCATTGCATTGCATTGCATTGATATCGTTTCATGCATTGCATTGAAATCGTTTCATTTCACTTCATTTCAGTTCATTTCATGCCAATCCATTTCATTTCATTGCGTTGATATCATCTCATTTCACTTCATTTCATTCCATCTCATGTCACTTCATTTCATTTCATTGTATTTCATAGCATTACATTTCATTTCATTTCATTTCATTTTATCTCATTTCAGTGAATGTCAACTCATTTCATCTTACCTCATTTCATTTCATTTCATTTTATCTCCTTTCAATTCATTTCATTCCATTTCATTTCATTTCATTTCGTTCCATTTCATTTCATTTAAACTCAATTCAAATCATTTCATTTCATTTCAGTCTATTTCATTCCATTGATATCATTTCATTTCACTTCATATCACTACATATCATTTCACTCCATTTCAATGTATTTCATTTCATTTCACCTCATTTCATTTCATTGCATTGCTTTTGCTTTTATGTCATTGCATTTCATGTCATTTCATTGCATGTCATTGCATTTCATCTCATTTCATCTCATTTCATCTCATTTCATTTCATTTCGTTTCATCTCATTTCATTTCATTCCATTCCATTGCATGTCATGTCATTTCATTTCATTTCATTTCAGTTCATTCCATTTCATTTCATTCCATGACATTTCATTGCATTTCATTTCATTTACATTTCATTTTATTTCATGCCGTTTCGTTTCCTTTTCTTTCCTTTCGTTCCATTTCATGTCATTTCATTTCAGTTCATTTCAATTTTGTTCAATTCAATTCAATTCAATTCAATTCAATTCAATTCAATTCAATTCAATTCAATTCAATTCAATTCAATTCAATTCAATTCAATTCAATTCATTTCATTTCATTACATGTCATTTCATTTCATTTCATTTCATTTCATTTCATTTCATTTCATTTCTTTTCATTGCATTTCATTGCATTATGTTTCAATTTATTCAGTTTCATTTCATTTCATTTCGTTTCGTTTCATTTCATTTCTTTTCATTTCGTTTCTTTTCATTTCATTTCATTTCATTTCATTTCATTTCATTTGCGGCGACGTCCGGTCGGGTGCCCACGCCCGCGCCCGCGGGCGCGTCGCGCCGTGCCCTCCGCCCCCGCGGCGGCCCACTCAGCCCTCACCTGGACGCTGCGGGCGGTAGAGAGAACCGCTGGGTGGCTACGGTTTGGTAGAGGTCTTTCACTCCCCATCGTTTGCCCCCCAAGGAATGCGAGTTGCTCGCCAACCCAGGCCGCCCATGGGCCCCGCTCGCGTCCGGGGCATCCATG